TAAATAACCTCCATTTCTTCCTACACGAGGTTTTTATCGTCCAAAGTTCTGACGATTTTAGTTTGCACAATAATCATTAAAAGTCATAATAAATTTATTGTTATAAAAAAAAGAAAGTCGTTAGGAAGAAATGTTATTGTCAGAAGTTCTCCTAATTGTACAAATGATGTATAACTCTCAGACAATTTATTCCATGATCAATAATATTTTTTTACTTGTTCATTTTTATAATTTCTGGACAAATTTGTCTCATATATGTAAAAAAAACTAGAAGATGAAGATGAAGAAGAAAAACCTAGAAGATGAAGGCTAAGAAGGAAAACCTGATGATGGAGCGAGTCTTTCCGGTGGATTATCAGTGATAAGACCATAGAAAGGGTACATCTCATACCAAATGTTACAACTCGGAAACACAACTCTCGCTCCTTGTTTTCCATCACAACACGTTGGAAGATCCTCTATTGCTTCTGCAAGGCAAGTTCTGCAGTTTTCCGGTGACAAATCCTGGGTACACTGAGCGAGAGTGTAAACGGTCTCAGAATGGGACAAGTTCGTTTCCTTTGTCGAGAACCTCGCATCCGAAACCGCTGCTGCTTCTGCAGTTCGGTTCATTGCGTTGTGCAAGAAGTTCATGAAGCTGATTGTGGAGTTGGTGGAGACATCCTTAAGGCTGACAAGACGATGTTCTGGAGACGTGGCCACGACGGAGAAGAAGGGCACATTGGAATACCGAAGCTTGCATTCAGCGTACGACATCACAGCCTCTACGGAGTTGTTACAATCTGTTTCTGTTGATAACTTCTCGGTTGCGTTGGCCACGCATTGTTTGCACAGGCGTAAGGGTATGTCACCCCTACACATGAACAAACCATACACCGTATTGTTGCTGCTGAGGATGGTGGTGTTGTAGAATAACTTAGCAGATGCGCTGGAAGTGAAGGAAGAGAAAAGGGTTATCAAGTTCTTCTGATAGATGCTGGTAGAAGATGTTCTGTTTGCACTGCATTTTTGGTACTCAAAATAAACCCTGTCCTGGTTCTGTGCTTTAGTGGTTGGGAAGTTCAACAAGGTAATAACAAAGATAAGAAAGACGAGTTTATTGGAAGCCATGGATCTGTTCGTGTTCAAGGGTGGGTGTTTCTGATATTCAGTGTTCAGGTTTTCTTCTGTTTTGTAATGGTACAGATGAAGTTGAAACTTTGAAAATATTGTGAGGGATTGCATTCCAAAGTCAATGAACTGGGCTACTCAAAGTCAACCACTCATCATGTCTCTGTCGTTTGTGATCATCTGAAACTATTACAAATTTTGGAACATCATGCGTTGAAAATGTCAAAATGAGATATGAAAAGTAAGAATGTTCATAAAAAGAAATGTGTGGCACGATGATGTTTTGTATTTAGAACGATGAGGATATATAATAGTTGGACCATTATATTTGAACAACTTTTTTTTTTAAATAAGAGAGTATGTGTCGTCTTTCGATGATCCGTATATTTAAAATCAACCAGTCTTAAACTATTATACAAGCGATTGTAAAAGATTTGTCAAAAAGAAAAGGAAAATGTTATTTGGACAACAAAA